TATTTGAGTCTTGCATGAACTATTTTTACATTCCACTCAAAACGACCTTGTTGACAGACCTTGGACAAGATGACGGAAAGAGGTGGAAAAGTGCCCTCAATATTTTGTCTACAGGCTTTCCACCATCTCCCCACTTCTCCTCTTCCATTTTTCCCTTGCCATCTCCTAGCTGTAGCCCCCTTCCTCTAACATGGAAAGCTTGAGTCTTATGAGTCATTTCAAAGCTCTCCTTGATCACGTGAAATTAAATAAAGCTATTAATTTGATAAGGTGCTTCTTGGATGTCTCCTAGGTAAATGCAGTATTACTCATGTCATACTGAAAGAGACTTAGTCTACAAAAATAGTACGAGGCTATTTTTTTTCTCATTTGAGGAATGTAACAACTACTTATGTTCTAGGGTAAATGCCACAAAAGTAGAAGAAATAGCCTTGAATTCAAACTGTTGACCTCCTTGGCCAGCAATGAACAGTATATAGATTATAAATAAAACTGTTCTAGTGAGGCCTTAAGCTGCTGTTTAAAGACTAAAAACTAAAATCCAAGCTTTCGCCGATCAACGGCATCATCAGGGATGAGAAAATATTCTGCGTGCGCTATATATATGCAAAGAAAGTGTAGGGTGAAATGTGTAAAAGATGTGACGTATTTATGAAAAGTATAGAAATAAACCGTGAATAGAATACAAAGCTCTAATGATGGAGTGTCTCTAGACAAAGGACCTCTAAAAGCGCTTCAGAATGGTCTCTAAAATAAAATACTAAAATACCGAAATAGAAGGTCTGCAAATACAGTACATTCTTCTCAGGAATTGAGTGTAGCCTTGCATTTTCTAATATAAATGCTTCATAAAGGCGTAGATTAGAGGGTCGTTTGCGCTCATAATAATCTTGACATCAAGTATATAGGTTGATAAAGATTTGCGAGCCAAGCAGGGGGTGAGGGGTTGTAGGTTTCAACAATTTAGAATTTTAATACCCAGCAAATCTTAACCTTGTAGGCAGACTAAGAGCTTAACAATTAAGAAAACATCTTGTTTAGGAAAACAGGGCACACTCCCTAAAATATATCCCAAGCTCAGACCCACAGTGTATAAACAAAGCGCAATTCAAACTACTGCAACCTTCCTCAAGATCCTTTGCTCTAAACATAGTTTGTTAAGCTTTGTTCAATTGCTTAAAAATGCTGCATAGATTTATCGTTTCATCTTACCTGTCACGAGATCAATGCAATTTCCCCAGGCAATTTCATTGATCCACTTGATCTTCCAGGCACTGAATAAGGCACCTTATACTTGGGCAGTT